TCAAAGAAATTGATTGTTTTGAAAACTGGAACTTTCCATGAAGGGGGGGGTGGGATTTGTTTAGAGGCGAATGCCTTTATAGTTCATTACCGCCGGTCAATTCTGGAACCTGTAGAAATCATATGAAAGCTTCAGAATGGCAGTCCAGTTTTCACTTTTCGTTTCACAGATATTTTTTTCGTGTCATTTATACGCTGGCATTTACGCTTCGAAGCGAAGAGACGGAAATTACTGGTGAGCCACAAGGAATAAGGATTTTCACATAAGCCTATGGTTGAAGGCACCCTACGTATTAGGGATAAAGCAAGTAAAATAATCCGCTTTTTTTCTCACCATTTTCGGGAACTATTTCAACGGTGGTGGACATTGTGAGAGAGAAGATTACCGACGTGTGTAATACCGCAGCTATCTTATTTCAAAAAGCCCTGCCTTTTCAAATACCTCGAGCCCCGAAAACAGGTTACCAAAATGATACTTCACTTCGGAAAAGCGCCTTTCGTGTAGTGATTCCAGGGAATAAAAGTTTAGTGCATGAAATATTAGGATCACTGAAAACGAGCAATACCAAAAGGGGGGGTGCGACTGGGAGCACAGACAGTTTTTTCGAGCCATTCAGCGTGATTCTTGCGATCGATAGCTAGCAACAAAACAGTATAGCGAGCGTCAGCCACATATGATGCACAAAACATTTAAAACGCCTGCGTCAATAATGACGTGATTTAATACATCGACACGAACCCGAAGTTTGCTCTGATAAGCGTATTCTGCTCACTGTTTAGAGGAAACAATACTAAAGTTGACTGAAAAGCAAAGTTCGAGAGCAAAACTTCGAAGTGAATCCAATAGGTCATCAAGAAATAACATAACATGAACGTCCCACTTCCACAGGTCCAAAATTTTTAACGGGTATAACAACATTAGCCGGCTCTACAGTCCAAGCGAATTGAGCAGATTAGGCTTCCACCAGAAACATGGAAGTACGTATTTTTTTGCAACACAAGTAGAAGTACTAAGTTGAGTGGGAGAGTTGAAGAGCTTCGCATTTATCAATTCCTTTTCGAAACTAGTCATGCATTCGAATTCCAGTCGAGATGACGCCATTAAAATTAGTCTGGACAGCTACAGGTCCAGGTCTGCCGCGATGAGTCAACGATTTTGACCCATCGAACGAGTTTGGTACCACATAACCGACCCGAAGTCATGGGGTAGTCTATTGTCTCGGGTGGGACTCCACCTAAGACTGATTCCCCGACCGCGTTATGGTAGGCGGCAACACTTGCCGTTTCACATTGTTCACCACTGATGAATTTCAACTTTTCCTTGCCGGAATGTTAAGAACTTTGGAACTCTAATAATCTAGGCGGAAGGGAGGAAGCGTTCATAAGAAATGGGAAAATTTGCGTAAAACGGATTAACACGACTCAAGCAGGATTACCAATTATCAAATTCATGGTATGCGTCCTCGAAACTGGTCCAGCCACTCGGAAGCTCCTTGGCCCTTTAGGTTTAGGTGAATGTCGCCATCTGTGATTAATGTGATTCCAGTTTTGCACCAGGAGTCCTTCGAATGCTGCCCCTCTCCAAAAGGTTATCAGAGGCACAAGGTTCCACAAGTAAAAAGTGAGACATATTGTTTTAAGTACTAGGTGAGCTAACATGTACTTGATACCTGACGGCAATAATCTGTCTTTAGCATCACTTGAATACATGGGATTCGGTGCCATGATCGCCGGGTTGTGATATTCAGTGTAGTGCGGCTTTCTTTGAGCACTTGAGCTTCGTTTCCACATCACTTCCTCGTTCTTTTTTTAACCAATTATTCCTAGCATATGCAAATGCGAGCCAGGTGGATCGGGATTTTGCCTAACTCTAGGCGGGATTTTGCTTAACTCTGGGCGGAAGAAGCTCTAGGAGGGTGAACCACTTTACTTACCCCAATCCTCACCCCTTCCCGGCTTAGGCAAAAAGGCTTTTCAAACCATTCATAAGGATCGAAAAATGTTTGAAGCGGTCCCAAATGCCTCCACCACTTCGCTTTGACAAAAATGCTTTCGATTGCTGACTTTGCACTGTGCTCGTTTATCCCGTCCCACATGCGCTATACACCCCCCCCCATTGTGCCTAGACAGCAATTTTTTGGGAAGGAGGGGGAGTGAAACTAGAAAAAACCGGGAAAGCAGAAAGGTGGAGTGTTGGAAGAATGGTAATTAATGGTCAGGAAGATGTTGTGTAGGATGGGGAGACGTTAGTAACAGAGAGAAGTTTTGGGAGGGGACAAAGGGATATTCTGCAAAGTTTTTTTCCAATGGCAGGACGCGCCCGTTATTACGACCCAAGTTGACATGTGACAACCGCTCGGGTATGTGACTAAGAAATCGTAACCCGCCGCGCTGTCGCGTACGACGTCGCACTGCAAATGGCGATGCTTCTAGGTCGTAGATAACGAAAATAAACGAAGTATAACCAAAAATAGCCACAAATGTCCACAATGTTGCGGCCTGCATGAAATCTCATGCTCTAGTCGACAGGCTAATGCGACTTAAAAGAACGATCGCCCGTGATAGGGCGGCAAACTACGATAGTCTTGGCCATCAACCTGGCTATTCGCAATGTTCACCCCATTTGCCTGCGCATCTACTGGGCGCATGCCCTAGCGCATCTGTTGGGCGCAAAAAGTAAAAATAAAGCGTTAAATAAATGAATAAGTAGTAGCACTCAGTGCTAGCCGCTCTCAATTCCCTTTCCTTCTTTCAAAAGCGGGTTCAGGTATGACTGGTTTCAAGACAACAAAACAGCGTACGTAGAGATGAAGTTTTTAATATTTGGAGATGGACAGTGTGTAAACTGAATAAATGAAAATAACATTTCTTGCAAAAAATTCTGGATTATTCGGTACATCTTTATCTTTTTACATTCACATTCCAATGAGGCCCGGGACACCGCAATACCAAGAGTATGAAATTCTTACCCTTTTTATTAATCTTTGGATGTTAGCAGGATCTTCCTCCGCTGAATTGCCTTCGAGTGTAAGCCTTGCTAGACGCATCTGATCATCAGTTGCAACTGCTTTTGCTCGATTGCTGGATTCTCCCTTAACACCCATATCTGCAAATATCGACGCTCTCCAGAAGTACTGTCACGAATTAAAACAATCAATATCGATCGCGACCAGGGAACTACTTTTCACGGCGTGCTACATGAATCCGCTGTTTCGTATCTGAATCGTCAGTTTTCCAAAAAGAAAAACCCGAAATATTTTGAAAGTTCAACGCCCGTGCTGTTTGTCGACATCTTTATTATTACATGACAAGCGGTAATGTGCACGAAAGAGAAAGAAATAAAAAAACAAAATATTTTGAAACGCCGCCTAATCGGAATCCAAGCTAACATCATGAAAATGCTCTTCTGTAGGAATTGAAAAACACGTATAACTGAATGGAATAAGAACAGCCAGAAAGGCATGAAAACAGCAGTTGATTGAATCTTTCCTTATCACCTCTCATTTTCTTGGCAATACTCCCGAATATCACCCCTGACGCAACTAACAATATACTTGATGGTTTTCTTAGTTGTCCATAGCAATGAAATCTACTCGTGCAATAGTCCTTAATCGGCTGAAACATCCGTGACGCAAATAAAAACGATCGTGGCTGGAAATACGCCCCACGGGCCGCTCCGTCGATTTCTCACGGGAGCCTGGACAACTGGGAAGTGGTCCCCCTAATAGCTTGCAGAACAAGGATGTGGACGGATATAGCGGAACTCTCCCGTCCAACCCTGAAATGACACGACCGAGCGCAACCGTACAATGGAGAAAAATCAATCGTGCACAGCAGTGACTTACTGTAGCGAAATATTAAAGGTCGCCCTATGTGCGTGCCAAGACCTACTTGCCACTTCGTGCCCCTCCGTAATTGCACCAACATCTTCAAATCGTACGTCACATTTTATTCAAAGGAGCTTGAGAAGAGCGTTCAGACTTTGCGCATCACGTCTTCATAAATGAAGCGATTTGACCAAGAACAGCCGTTCGCACTGAATTAGGATTGCGCCTTGGGGCTGGGCTGCACGTATTTCGTTTCAGACTGGCGCGTTGGACGTTGGAGTTGTTGGGCAAAATTTGAACATGCACGGCGCTATACGGGGTTTTTGCAGGTGTGGGAAGTCCCAGATCATTCTTTCCTCTTTTCCATCAGGTAACTTCCATGAACTCTTCCTTAGGGTCAAAACCACTGCTGGGAATGTAAAACTGGTAGAAATGATGGAAAAGCGCCTACCAACTAACTAGAGATCCACGCAGTCCTGAGATCTGCCAAACTAAGAAGGAGTTTCCCTCTACTTTTATTGTCTCTGTGCGGATACAGAAATATATTTTCGCATATAGTTTCACTTCTTTTCGTGATTACTACTGCAGCTGTATTCATTGTTTTCGGATATCTGAAGAACTCCATAATTCCTTTCCGAAGTTTTCCTGAGAACAGATTTCAGCGCAAAATCCTCTGGTTCAGTAGTCAGTATGAGAGCAATGTGACTTTTTTTCATATGTTTTGACGAGTTTTAGCGAGGTTGGGTTTATGTTATGCAAGCTTCCACACTGAGACTCATCTTCTCTTCAGCTTTCATTTGTCGTTTCTAATCTGCTGACCCAGAGAAGGAATCCGTTATTCCCCCCCGCCTCACCTCAGCCATTTTCTCTTTTCCCAGGTTTCCCCTTTTCAGTTGGGGCCATGCAAGGGTAGGAATAAGGCAGCGTTCATAGTCGGCGTGCGCGACCAATTATTTTATATCTGCAAGATCGATAAGTATTAACAGTCTGCCTTGAACAACTGGTTCTGGACATTGAAGTGGTATGGAAGACTTTTCATGCTTTCTATCCTCTACAATGTACATTCCCTTTAATCTCGTACCTTTTTCTCATAACTGGGAATCACGTTAGTAAGTTATCTAAGTTATAATATCCAACTAATTAATAGTTTGAAATGACCGATTTTCAGGGGGTGATGTCGGATCCGCCCGCTTCGGGCGGCGGCCCGAAGTTCCGTATCGTAGCCGGAAGAGGTCTAGGAGAACGGCCGTCGCCAGGAACATCGGTTGGTTCACCACTGACACAAGAAATCAAGCCACCTCAGGTATGTTTTTCTCATACTTGTCTTGGCTCCTGTCCTTCTTATATTCGCCTTTGATTAGGGCCACAACAGCTTGATTTTTTGCAATAGGGGCAATCTTTAGGAGGAGCTATGCAACAGTGGTTATCGAAGCGGTCGAGCTTCCAGTGCGGTCACACTTCGCGTCAGCGTTTTAAACCTACGCCGGTGTCTCTAGCGACTAGGAAAGTGTTGGTATAACCACTGTTTTGAGTTCTGCCATATGCTGACGTACGCTCAAAACACTAACCTACGCTCAGAATGCTGACGCAAAGTATGAACGCATTCTTACATATCTTTTCACAACGCTTTACCCATAGATTCATTTAACTTGGTGGTTGCGTTAGGAGCCTGCATAACTTGCTCTGTGCGAAGCTGCTCCCCTTTCCAAGCCTGCTGTTTGCTTAATCTGCCGTTGCCATGTTAGACTCTCGATAAACATCACCATTGGAGTAATGCATATCTACGGCTCTCGATGTTGATGATAACGCTGATTGACTGGATAATATCTCGACAAGTCATGCTCTTCGGAGTTTTTCTTCTGCAAGCATAAAAGTAAGGCCCTTCTACCAGATATCGCATATCGCTGCCGGGGACCTAGATGGCGTAGAAGGTGTTTGTAGTATTGAGCTGTTTGGTCCAATAGCTCACAACTCGACTCCCATCCTTTGAGGCTGTCGAAAAAACTGAACTCACAGAAAAGATGGAAAAGATGGCTAGCCAACTAACGTTGCTTTTGATCTCGAGAGCTATTAAAGAGCAGTAATTATAGAGTCTATATTGAAAGCTTACTGATTAGAAAGAGAGTTTCTTTTCATACTAGTTCCCTAGTCTCTAGATCTTTCACCTTTTAAGGATCCTGTAGAGTTGTGTGAGTCAGTGGCAGCTAGCCCCTAAGTGTGCTTACTAAAAAAAGATGTTGTTTTTACTTTTCAGTTCACTTTACCCGAAAAAAATACAGTTCATGTCATCCCTAGTAATGAACACTTGTTTCATGAAAGGATGTAAAAAGGAGGAAAATGCCTGTTTTGTTCGCTGCGTTGGGGCGTTTTAGGGGACTGGGTTGGCGCGGTTCTCCACCAGTTGAGGAAGAGGGAAAAGGGCAAGTATTGGTGGAAGATGAGTTGGCGCTGCGCCGAGCAGAGCCCACTTGACGCTCAACAGCATCCACAGTGGACAAGTCTGAAGATAGATTAAGAATTTAGTGAAGATTAAGAATTTAGTGAAATACTTTGTTCATTACATATGTCCATTATTTGAAATTACAGATGATGACATCATCAACGATGCATATGCAGCATCAGCAGCATGCTCAGCCAATGCAACAGCAGCAAATGACTATGCAAGGGACTCCTTCTAGTACGTCATCGCTTCAGTGTTTTGTTTGGCACTGTTTTCCCTTTGCAATCTCAAACATTACAATTAAATGCTGGTTTTATGTCCTGTTTATCTTGGGGCGAGCTCGAAGAAAAACTTGTCTTTAGAGTTATTTGGAAGCTCTAATCAAACATATCGCATCGCTTAGTGCGCTCCTCTCAGAGACAGATTTCAAGAAAACACTGCTTTTCGAGGTGGATTCCGATTAGAATTCAGTCTAAATTTCGAAACGGGTGATTGTAAAGAGTGAGCAGTGCTTTTTGCTGTCAAAATACTTTCCGTAATCCGACGATGAGGAGGGTATAGCTGCATGCAGGTGGGTTCACTGCGGTTGATGAGGCATGTCCGCGCACCGTGTTTGGCGCGCAGCTAGGCTCAATCTCCACCAGTTGTTGAAGCCGGTAATTGGCAACGAGTAGTGGAAATCAAGTGATGCGAACGATGTGGTGTCTTGTCCCTCACCGAGGAAAAAAGAAAAAACTGATTGGCGTTGCCCCAAACCTTCCCTCCTCACACGCCTCAGCGAACAAGACTACCTCATTTGAACCTAGCAGCGTTTGCGCTCCTATTGGGATATTGCCATTTTGGCACAGTGAGAATCGTGCCTTTGTCCAGCACAAGACAGGATGACAATTGTTTCCGATGGGATATTTCAGAAAGAAGGCATCCGACGCCATGTTCAAATGAAGCATGCAGCACCAAGTTCCTCATCTTCGGAACCTGGAGTGCCCATAGTCGCCCACAAAGATTCGTGTTTTCAGCCTCGATTTCTTCTGGTGTTGTGGTGCAGATGAATCAACCCCAGACTTCTCAGTCTAATACCCCTCAGCCACTGCAAACCAGTGACAGTCAGGGTATGGTTACAAAATGTGTGCGCTTTTTCAAGACCTTGATACAGTTGTCGCAACAACCTGAACAACAACAGCCATCGCAAAATCCTCAACAAACTGCTCACCTTGTAAAGGAACTTGTCAGTGTAAGTAGTATTCGAATAACTGTTTAGGTATATGATTTTGTTATAAGTGAACTTACAAATGCGTTCAATTCCAGACGTTGGTATTTGGTCAAATGCCTGCAGAGGAGTTCACAACTCGACTACAAAGTGCCTTAAAATCACAAGCACAGCCTCATTTACTTCCATTCCTTCACAAAACCCTTCCTTATCTTCGCGCTGCCATGAGAAGTGGTAAGTTGTTTGTTGATTGTCTGGTGAAATTACTTGTGCTCGAATAAAACCACTAAGTTCGTTCTGAAAAGAGTGAGTGGCAAGGACATGATGAATAATTAATAAGTCAAATATTAGGGTGCGGGGGAAACTTCCCGGGATTAATGCCCAGTCTGTGAAGGAGCTTGTAAGTGCAATAGCCCTCAGGTCATGTTGTAGCTCAAGTCTATCATTTTATTTGCTTGATCTACTGGCGTGATGTTTTGCTCTAGTATCAAGCTGCGTCATACTATGTATAAGTTGGCTGAGTCAGTGTTTTGTCGTAACGATGAGCGTGCTAATTTTGCAATTCCCGGCTTTGATAACTATCAATTTTCCATATTTCTAAGGACATTGTGACATTTGATTTCAACTTCTTTCATTTCTGTGCACATTACAGGTGAGGTGACTATTGAGGGTGTTGTACCGCCACCTGGTATGATGGTCCCACCTGCGCAGATTGAAGCTGCCTCACCTCAACAACAAGTTCATATGCAAATGCAACACCAACAGCACATCATCACTGCTCAACAGCAACCGTCGTCTCAGCCGGCCACTCAGCATATTCACTCGCAGCCAATACAGGTGAATAATGGTTAGCTAAATATGGTTGGGTAGAAACTACTACCTTTTATTTCGCTATTAATGGCATCTGTTGTCCACAACTCTGTTCGTCTTTCTTGTCCCATTGAATTCGCTGTCAGGCCTCTGCTCTGCCCTTACCTGATTTTCAGGTACAAGCCGACTTTCTGACAAGGGGAACTCTTTCAAATCGTGGGGTACACTTTCAAAACTGTCTGTTGCACGTTGCAGGGGATCACCCGGTCCCCGCAAAAGTTTAGTCCTTATTTGCTGCGCACTTCTCGAATGAAAGAAGAAAGGGTGAACATTGGACTGAAGATGGCTCGAATCCCTCAGATGGCGGAATTTCGCTCTGCCATTTTTTTCATGTTCATGTAGATTAAAACCTGTTGTTTCAACAAAAACGCGCCGAAGAACACCCGAACGTTTTGCGCGAAAAAACGGAAAAGCCCTTTGTCACCGAGTTCGTCGTGAACTCATAGGAGTCTTTTTCGTCTCTTTGCATTCCCAGAAGCACGCAGCAAAAATGAACTGCTTGGCCCCACATGTACTTCTAAAACTTGCAACAAAATGTTTCAAAAATGAGCTTGAGATCTCCCTTGTGGGATCAAGACCTCGATGGGATACAAACCATTCTCTGTCTCTACTTGACTCCTTCGTCTGTTTTTTTGTTCATTCTTTTTCGAAAACTCTCGCTCATTGCGCGCTGACGTCCGCTTACTTCACGTCAAATTCTCGTTGTTTTTTTCCATCAATACGTTACGTTTTGTTCAAAACTTCCCTCATTATGACCCCTTTTGCGAGACAGTACAGTATGGTTTTCTCATTTATCTTTAGCTCTGATCTAAACACCGTTCCGTCGTTCACATGAATATCTTTCCATTCTAGTCCTCTTCTCTCACCATTTTATTTTAAATAGCAAAGGAAAAATTGACCTGGAAACTATGAGCTGTTCTCCTCAGCCGTTTTTTTTCTGATAGTGTGTCTTTAACGCTTCGAAAACTGTGGTACAGAATCGATGGGCAGAAGGGAGTTTAGGAAGGACAACCTCCTTCACAGATCATCCAAGGACTCTAAATCGTCTTCTTCTTTTCTTTCCCACCCAGTGGTAAAGTCCGCTGCTCTGATGCAATGATGGCACTACCCCCCCCCCTCCCCATTGAATACCTGGTTGAGGCTAATGCCAGTCTTACGGACTGTGTCTAGCCTTTCCCTTTCCTCAAGCTTCTTGTTTTCCTTATTGCTACAGGGTCGCTTCTAAACGAGATGAAGAGGTCGCCTAGATTTGGTTAGAACCGCCTATGCTATATACAGTCTTGTGCGCTGCGGATGCTGGACTGTATCAGGAAGGCTGGGTTTGGGCGATGGCATCCCGTTTCCTCCAACTGTTGTCGTTTACCCTCGTCAACAATTGGTGGCGCCATGCCCATCCCCCTGACATACTGTAGCATCTGCAGCGACTAAGACTGCATTTCCGACGGTTCAGCCGATTTCTGAACCAACCAGGTAGGTCGCAAGGGCTAATGTAGCAAGTTCGATTACTGCATTATAATATTATTTATTTTTATGTTTCAGGTACAAGTAGTTCAGCAGCAGCCACAACAGCAGCAACAGCAACAACATTATCAGATGCATGAGGCACCCGCTCAGATGGAACATCAACAGCTGCAGATGCACCCGCATCCACAGATGGGGATGCAACAGCCACAGCAAATTGTGCATTCACATTCACAACATCAGCAAATGCCAATGGTATCACAACAGATGACTATTTCTCATCAACAGCATGCACAGCAAATTCCACCTGAACAACGTCAAACGACATCGCAGGGCATGATGTATGCACAGCCCTCTGGTGCAGTTAGCGTGGTGTCGGTACCTATCCAGGAACATAACGAGCAGGTAGGATATTTCTTATACCATTGTTCAATAGTGTCCAACTTCTCTCTTCACAGTACCTCGGCATTGTTGTAAAGCTTACACTTTTTAGTTGACGGTCTCGAAGTGGTTAATTGGAGCCATTATTTGATTGCCTAACCTTTCGACCACATCGTCGTCTTCAGAGGCGTAAACATGGCTCAAGGTTTACATTTTGCATACTCTACACCGCCAAAAGCCTCGATCCTTGGTCTTTTTGACGGAATATAAAAAGAACAGCTCAAAAAAAGAACCCATATGGGAATTTTTCGATTGTCCTCCTTATATTCCGTCAAAAATGCTAGGAAGTCGAGGAGTTTGGTGGTATAGAAGGTGCAACATCTGAACATTCAGCCATGTTTAGGCCAATGCAGATCTGGTCGAAACGCCAGGCCATCAATAATTGCGTCCACCCAACAGTCCCTTAGCCAAAAACCTTATACCGTTTCATGTTAGCTGTAAACTTGCCTATTTGGCCAGCCTTCATTTTCATGTATTTGCTCTACGGTTTCGTTTAGTTCCAGGTGGCTCCGATGGAAAGAACAGACTCTGCCACTGCCGTAGAACCTATGGATGATACTCCGGCTCAACATCCTGAAGAAGAGGTGACCTTCAACTGTCGTCTGAATGGAGGCGTTTGGTTCATTACCAACAACTCAACAGATCGTTCTGTTTTGTAGATGATACAAGTTCGACAAATGCAAGAAGGAGCGCTTGAAAGTGCGCTTTTACGACCGCCTGATATCATGAGTAGAATCACGCAATGTATGAACGAGATGTGCTATGTTGATGAAGAGGTTCTACTTTCTTTCTGGAAGAAATTTAGTGAAAAGGCCAGGTTTTTTCAAAAGTTTCGAAAAAAACTTCGTTCTCAGGTACTTGTATTGATATCCGATGCAGCTGAATGCCGTCTTCGTGAGATAATAGGCGAACTTGCTATTCTGGCCGAACATCGAATGGAGCCCTTGAGGTTGCTTCTTTTTCTTCTAGTCATCTCCGTTTTCAGCAAAGTTATATCATTTTTATCAGACTGAATCCCAATTATGGACCAATTGATGACACACGGCGTCAGCTGCGCTTCCTTGAAGACATTGATAGACAACAGGAGGAACAACGTGAAAATCGTGAAAAGGAAGCTTTGATACGAATGAGTAAAAGTAAGGGCATCGCAAAGGATACGATTGAACGGGCAAAGGTATGTGATACTTTTTGTGTAACCAGAGTACAATATTGGGGTGGCAGAAATGGTAGTGTCATGCGTACCTCTCCCCACAAGAAAAAATTTCTTCCTCCAGTTCGACCGAATCCTTTTCCTATCCTACCTGCCATCTTCCGGGATCTACCCAGCTTTCTACCGCGAGAATTGGTGAAAAGTCAATAACCGGAAAGATTTTTATCGCACTCAGAAAAATTTATGCCACGTTCAGATGCGACTCCCATCGACACGGTACAACTGACCCTTTCACCACGACCATGTTCGAAAATGAAAAGCCAGACTGGTTTTACCTAGAAGTGCCATTTTAGACACACTACCTGAGCGCCTGTGAATCGTGGCGAAGAGCGTCACTCACCTCATGCGCGGTCCGCCGGTCAAATCCGATCGGTTCCTATCCGGGTCAACTAAGCCTTGAACTCCCATACAGCTGATGATTCTATTCCACGCTCATGTGGAGGATAAAAACACTGACGTGAGGCGGGCGAGCCAGTCTTAAAGATTCCTAAAGCAGTTCCAGAGCACTCCAGACACTCACACCTCCTTTGTGATACGGCCCGGCCTTGCGGGGCGTGGCTCCATCGCGCCTACCTGCTTCGTATGATCAAATGCTCGACTAATACCCGGCTTTTCTCTCATCTGTCCAACTTGATCAACGCTCCTTACCACCATTCCATACAAATAGTGTTGAAAATAGCAGGTATGATGCTATTGGTCAAAGAATGTTGACCATCTGTTCAGGTAAAAGAAATGCCGGATACTATGTGGTATTCATATAAGTGGAAAAGGCTCAGAGGGAGGCGCGCCGGTGTCAGCCGGCTGGTTCTAGATAGAACGCATCTCAGAAAGGGATTTTCCACCCCGAAGCTTCATCGTTTTTGTCCTTATCATTTACCGACTACAAGTAACCTATCTGCAGGGCTCTTGTACCTAGTGGTAGATGACTGGCAACCACAAGATGGGAGGGTTAACCACTTAAGCGCCACAGGCTACTTAAACGTTGCCAATTACAGGAAATGCAACGTGCAGATGCCGAAGCCAAACGAAATCGTGACGCGAACGCCGCTGCAATTGCTGCTTTGAGTAGCGGTAGCAAAGTTTCTAGACCGAAGTAGGTCCTTATACAGTATTTCAGGTCATACTAATTAGCGATGAACATTCTTATCTCTAAGTACAACATTTTAATTCCAGTCAGATGAAATACGTCCGCAAGGCTACGTTCATGTTCTGCGACGGGAGAGTGGGAGAATCGACGATTTGACCTCTTGGGAGTACGTACATTGCTGTTGCAGTTGGACTGGGGCAGCGTCTCTGCGTCACTTTCTCGAACCTAAGGCTTGAGCTCGAAGCGCACAGGAGCAGTCTCTCAGAGAGTGTAGCCCTGTCTGAGCTGTAATTGTAAGCGTAGGCCTTGTTTAGAGGGATGCTAAAGAACCGCCGCGTGGCTCAGTTACGTTAATAGCGATGCACACGCTTCCAAGACGTCGCATCGCCGATTCTCCTGTTCTCCCTCGCAAAGTATGAACACAGCCTAATGTGCTCCACCTTCCAGATGGGATCAAGTAAGCGGTGGTGGAGTGTCTGGTGCAGTACACCGCCCTCGTACAGTACGTGTCAACATTCGCGATCTCCATGTTCTCGTAAATAAAGACAGCAGATTTCGAAGGTATTATGTTTTTCTTTCATATACTCTAGTGCTGCGGACGAAGGAGCGTGTCAGGCAGTATAGTCTGCCACAGCGCCAAACCCGTTCTCTGCCAGTTGTTGAAGCGGGTATGCGACAACGACTGAAAGAAAACGAGTGATACGAACGATATGATACAGTCTTGTCACTTGCTTGCTTCAACAAGTGGTGTAGAACGGGCCTAGCACTGCGCCAAAGTCATCCAGCCTGACACGCCCCTTCCTCCCAGCAAACTAGACTATACAAGCTTCCTCACTGATCTTACCATTAGAATTCTGTTTTCCTTAGATCTCAACTCGCCCATAAACTGGCTCTCAGTGGACCACCCAGTGAATCACTTTGAAGTTTTGTTCATAATGTACGGTGTTTTTTGCATTTCACTTTGTTACTTCTTGTATTTGGTGTTCTGCTCTATGTTACATGTATTACTAACAACTGTTGTAACTGAAATCCTGCCATCCATGTTACATATATAAAACCCTCCAATAATTTTTACTATACATTCGTTCTGTAGATCTACACAAATTAGTAGAGTCTTCGTCGATGTGACAAATATAGGGAAACATCACACTAGATAAAGAATGCGGAGATATGAACATGCATGTACATCCACGAAAAACAAATCTGGACTGTCAAACAGTCAAAGAAAGAAGGCTACATGACTGCCAAAACATCGTGCTCGAATAAAATATGTACAACTGTTTAGAGGAACAGAAAATTTTTAGAGAAAAACGTTTACCTCCATATCGATGCCTGATCGGTAGCAAACATTGGAGCAATTGAGTGCAGTGCAATGTATTTGATCAAGTGCTTCGGCAGTGGAAGTTTCCACATCGCCTCGTTGAATGCCTCGCCAAAACATTTCAAAGATGCTTGCTGTTTGTCGCGTTCCTCTTCAGCCTGTTTTTCTGCCTAGAATGAGCAATGTTATTTTTTACTAAAATCAGCAACGCTGTCCTGCTTGCATGACCATCGAAAAGCGTCTCATTCTTTGAAGACAATAACCGCGATCAAGTACAGTATAGTATAGGTTAGAAAAAGTCTTGTCACTGTTGTGACTTTTTTCTTTTTATTTTTAACTCAACAGTGGGAATTAGTCAACAATATACTCGTCATAGTTAGCCACTACAGTGCTCTACCTAATGGACAGGTAACCATTCCCCCTCTCCCAGAAATGAGGAGGCTGCGAGTAGAGTAGGTCGGCAGCTTCTCAACCGATGTCATCAAAGTTGCTGAAAGTTTCAGCTAAGAAAGCCTTGAGGAGATGGAGCAGGTAGCAGTCGTAGGGAGCTACGTCAGGAGAATATGATGAGCGGGGACTGGTCTCCCAGCCTTGCTCCTCAATTATTTGGTAGGTCTCCATAGCAGGTATGGGGTCTCGCGTACTACGAACGAGGTGCCTCCGAAGCTAGTCTCGGTCATTTTTCTCCGACAGCTTCCTCCGAGCAGAACGACATAAATGGTAGGGGTGACCGTGTGTTACAGACCAGCTCTTTCTGCAGCATCCCCCTCGCGTCCCAGGAGCAGCACAGGAGAACCTTCTCAAAACACATGCTCGGTTTGGTCTGGGAGAATTGATCTTCTCCTTGAGAGAGACACACGGTACTGTGTGGGTTGAAATCACAGAGGACCCATCTGTCATCTCCACTAAGCAGTCTCCCAGAACCACCTTTTGACAAGGGCGGAAAAGGAGAGACTGACCAGGGTGTACCCAGGTGCACAGCGTGCCATCGGTCAAGGCAGGTCAAGGATCCATCGAACCAAGTACATTTCGGTAGTCAAGGGCTTACAGGCGGTTGACGACTGCAAGCCCTTGACTACCGAAATGAAGAGATCCGAGTCCTGTCGCAAGACTCCGGGTGGTAGCACCCGGATCCTCCTTGACAGCTTCGAGAATGGTGGAGTCTTTCACTTAGTGGGGCCGTCCCAACCGAAGTTTGTCTTCCGGGGTCGTGTCCCCTTTCGCGAAGCAAGCGAACCAAAAGTGGACGGTTCTGATGGTAGTGGTGTCCTCCGCCAATGCACAGCTGATGTTGCGGACAGCTGCCGCTGCTCCAGTGCCGCGAGGCCACTGATAAACATGGTGACCCAAAGATGCTCCTGTGAAACTGACATCGCAATTAGACCTATAAAAGAGCAGCCCCCCTCACACAACTTTTGCAGGGAAGCGAATATCCTACAAGCATGGCATGTTACGTCATGTTCGAGCATCGAAAACCGAAAAGTGTAGGGAAAGTGTAGTGTAGTGTTTCCAAAAAACACTGACAGGACTTTCCCTCCAACCTAATATTATCGGTAGTAGGTGCTTAATCACGAGCTAGAAAAGAAAGAAGCGAAAAAAAAACCTTGGGAACTTTCCCTCACTGTTGCGGAAGATCGCTCAATACTATGAGGTCACTGTCCTAAGGATAATATGAGCGGTTGTTTACATTTATAGTGTTATGCAGTGATAGGTCTTCTTGGGTCTATAAAAGACCCTCTGTGCGGTGTGTTGTCAATTGTCGTCTCGTGCTCTAATAAAGCACTCTCGCCCGAAGTCGTAACACTGGCGATCAGGCCTAAGAACACCCGCGGAAGCAGTTCAAGGAGCAATGGCCGTCTGAAGATCTTCAGTACATTGCCAGTAGCAAGGTGTTGCCAGAGCCGACCGAGAGCCTGTAGAGAGAGGCACCGCCGGCCTAATGGTACGAGGATGAAGGCCAGGTACAAGTATTCTGCTAGACAGACATAAAAAAAAAAAAAAAAAAAAAAAAGATAAAAAAAAAAAAAAAAAAAAAAAAAAAAAATAGAGGTTCCAGCAGGCAGAACGCAGCAGCTGCCAACAGCAGAGTCAAGCAGGCTTCAATCGGAGCCATAAAAGGCAGCGACTTGTGGAAGCAAAAGGGTAGGAATGCTGGACTACAGTCGGTGAAAAAAAGGAGGGCATCTGCCAGATGTGCTAATGGAGGAACCGGCCATAGCTTCTGATGAGAGAGGATCGACATCGAACATGGTCAGTCAAGGTGAGCGATGTGGGAGTGAGCGGAGCGACAACACACATATATAATACGGACAGGACGTAAGCGAAACCTCATTCTAGAGGCAAACTGAGACAAGGCAATAAACAATATTGAATTAAGACACTCCCTTACGGATTGAAGCACGGATCGACCTGTCCATCACTCGTCGATATATCTGAGTGAGACTGATTCGGAACGAAGAGCTTGTTGGTTTGGTTAGTCGCAATGACGCGGGACTCTCTACGTATGTACTTCGGAAACACGATCAAAAAGTTCGAGTAAGGCATGTATGAAGGTTGCGATAGCGACCCGCTCCAATGTCTGTGTTGTAGCTGGTCTGCACGGCGATCACTTCTCATGTTCAGAGATGCTCACTTCGGCTGCCTGACCAACGGAATGATCGCTCTAAGAAGTCGGGTCTCTCCCAGTTCTCGACGATTTCATGACAGAATGTGAAACTTTCGTCACCTTGCATTCAGATTACCGAACCATGAAGACAGAGGAGATAAATGCCGCTCACCAAGGAAACCCACCTAAGCCTTGGAGCGAAACATGTCAGTTCAAGAGAGGCTCCTTTTTCGCCCAAAGAAGAGCAAGCAGCACGGGAAAGCAAAATGAGAAATCTATCTAGCAAAGAACACAACAGCCCAATGTCTTGAGCTAAGCGCAAACTTTGATGCAAGAACGTGATGACTAGAAGATGCAAGAATACATGGACAGCTTAGCATCAATGGCGGCAAGGCTCACCCCACAGTATAACTGCGAGAGGTGGAGGGCAGACATAACGATATGATATTTCGCAGAACATCGACAAAAATTGGATCCCCATCTCTCGTCCAGGCATCTCAACAGCGAAGACAGCTGATGGCTCACCGAAAAATCCTAGGATGCTTTGAAGCCGACTTTTCAATTTTCGATCGACATCACAGACCTATCTCTGGAGAGGAAAATTGCTCCTGTCAGAGAAGGTGATAGCAACCATCGCAACGAACTTGTTACTCGCTGTCGAGAACACAAGTTCCTAACATGTCTTCCGCTCCAGGTGGGACGCTGTCCCAAGACGGAAGCGTAAGCTGATTTTCTGAACCTAAGGCTCAACCGACGTGGGCCGATTCACGAAGCGACGGCGCTGATGACCAGCGCCTCTCACCAGCCCCTTAATGCCAATCGATCGCCTAACCCAGGAAGGTGTACTCACAGCAGTGGACCACCCAAACTGGGCAGCACCAATAGTGGTAGTGAAGAAAAGCAATGGCAGTATCCGATTACGTGGGGTTTCTCCACAGTTTGAATGATGCGTTATCACTTCGCCAACACCCGTTACCAACCACAGAAGAAGGTCAAACCTCAAGCGGTGATCAGCTTTTCTCGACAGTATCGATCTGGGATGCATGACTACGAAATGAAGTGAGGCGTGATCTCAACAGGAACTACTCACGATTAACCCAATCGGTGGTCTTTTCCGCTATAAGCGGCCTAACGGCGTTTGAGTGAAATCACGTCCAGGTACATAATTCCAACAGATTACCGAATTTCGTGATAGCAAGGCTTAGCATGGCGTCGGCCCGAGCTTATCTGGAGATGCTTCCTGAAAGAAGAACGCCCAGTTCAAGATGGACAAGCGAATGTCAGAACGCTATGAGCAAGCCCCAAAAGAATTCTGGTCCTCTAACCACTCTGATCACACAATACAATCCCACAATTGGATCTCATGATGTGGCAAGAACACTTCTGACTACGGCATTGGAGGCCGTAATCCTGCATCGATCCGCACATGGATCAGAGAGGCAATCAGCCACGCCAGTCGAACTCTCACAGAAGCAGAGAAGAAATATGATCAACATCGAGAGAGGCTAGGCATTAGTCTATGCAGTCGGCAATTTCATCGATATCTAGCTGGGACGCAATGTTCTCCTCACAGACGCAATGAACCGCTTGATTCTACCGGGGGAGGGGGGCAACAAAAAGTCAACCTTTCTTGCATTGATGTTCGAGGCGCTAATTAAAGTTACGTAGCTTTATTAAATTAACTGACTGGGACACTTTTACCACCATATTAAAAGAGCATATCAAATACTATCGTAACACTCCGCCACAGACTTCTGGACGAGCGCCATCGAGAGATTCTGGCATGCGACCGCGGATGTGTGATGAAGATCAGGTCGAGATGGTCGATCTTCTCCGCCACTACAGGCCACCGCTATTTGAACCGCGCCGAATCGGGTAATTGAGGGATCAGGTCAGGTCGAGCCTAACTTGGATATTCCATATTGACCTACTTGGATATTCCATCTTATTTAGACACTCAGACTTCCATTACAAGTAGGCGAGTGTTTCTCCAACT